TCCCCAGTAAGTACATTTCTTCAGGTATTTTTTGTGAGCATCGACTGCCAATCCCAAAAATGGTTCATAGAGCGAAGACACTACTGAGATTATTGAAGGTTGTTATCATCCTATTGAATGCCTACAACCTATACGGGTACGACACCACAACAATACTTCTCTTCTCGGCCATCATCATCATCCACTGCTGCTGGTCCTACTGGTAGTAAGGAGGAGCAGATACAACGACTAAAGCAATTGTTGGAGATGATGAAGAGCTTACCAAAGGGGGAGTAATACCGTGGGGGTTGGTTATCGTCCATGCTCGACGTCATTTATATCTGCTAACGAATGCGTTCCGCTGTATAATTGCCGTCTTTGTCAGTGTCACCAACGAGGATGGTGATAAGATTGTTGATATCGAGGAGAAGCTAGACGATAGCAAGGCGCCAGCCTCCAAGGCCCCTCAAGTGGTCTCTTCCTCATCATCATCGGCAGCAGTCGAAGAAAAGGAGATCGAGATAAAACGGAAGGAGATGGTTAAGTGGTGGGCAGCTGTTATGGAGGAAACTCCCTCTTATGATGAGCCCGACTATGACGAGAGGGAACTAAACCAAGGGGCTCAGGCAATGCCAACGACTAGCAACACCACAGATCGGGTGCCCGAAACGACCACCACTACTGATGCCTTCACCGGTACTGTGGCTGAGCATGGAGAAAATAAGGTGGAGAAAAATGAAGATGCGCCCAAGCGGATGTCGAAATTTAAGATGGACAGAGCAGCTAAGAAAGGCTTTGGCGGGATGTTCGCGGCCCGACACGGTATTCCAATGGGAGGCGGGCAGAATTCCCAACCCGGGCAGTAGACGATTTCCTATTCGCTTCCTACGTTTTGGGTTCCAAGTGCTATCAATTTGGAACAGCATTTCGATAGGATTGTTTGCATTTGGTGATGATGTTAGTCACCGATGAGCAGCTCCGGAATATCAGAGGACGTGCGGCCTCGTGGATGGTTGCTTGTGATGGCTCCCATGATATGGCTCATGTTGAGAGGGTCGTAGCCACTGTTAAGGAGATCTATAGCAAGGAGAAGGAGGAGGTGCGTTGTCAATCGCAGTGAAATGACGTTGTTTGCATAACGATGATATTCAGATGGCTGTAAATGCCGATCTCAATCTGCTATTGGCAATAGCTTACCTGCATGACACATTTGATAGGAAGTATTGCCAGGATACGGAGGCCAGGGCCCGGGAAATTGTGGGGGAACTCACAACGGGACCCGAGGCTTTGTCTGAGCCGACTGCCAAATTTATCATCGATAAAATCCATAACGTAAGCAGCTACGCTGGGATGTGACGTAGAAGATCTTTCAAAGCTAAAGCAAGTTCATAATCGCGGCCCGTAGAGTAGGTGAGGTGGATCGGCTGATTATAGTAGTCTAATATCTCGATCCTATGGTGATGATGTCGTGGGAGTTCCCTTGTGTCGTCTACATTGCTTTGTATACTCCTCGTCAATTCGTGTTAGTCGTTTAGTGTTTTTTGCTAACAAAATGTATAGGAGTTCACGTTCAAGACTCCGAGTGTCATCAAGTCTGCTAATACAAAGTCGTTCGGCATTTGTTATATGTGTGCTTCAGATGAGTTACTCCGCCGAGTTGAAGAATGGTATTAGTGAAGAAGTAGCCGTCGACCCCTACATAGCCATCGTACAGGATGCTGATAGATTAGATGCTATTGGGGCCATTGGCATTTGCCGGTAAGAATGGAAGGTACAGTGGAGGAAGGGCACTGATCATCGCTTCAGATGCATGGTGTATTCGGGGGCCAATGGACGTCCTATTGTTAGTGAGGGTGGGGAGGAGGAGATGAAGTTGCGACGAAAGTTTGAGGAGAATCCCGACAGTACGAAGCCTTCAGCAGTTGAGTAAGAAATATACGTCCATCCATACACGGTGGATAGTCGAATAGACATTGGATATCAATTACTACGTACCATCAGTTGTATAATTATCTCCATAAAATTTAATATAGCGTATTATTGATATTATCAGTTACTTCAATACAATACTGTATTTTGTTAGATAATCATGTCTCATGTTATTGCTATCCCTTGGCATGATCAGATACGCGAAGAAGAGTCGGTCAGCAGTTGCCCACTTCTACGAGAAGTTGCTCCAACTAAAGGAGAGTATGAAGACGCGGACGGGCGGGGAGATGGCTGAGGAGAGGCATCAATTTATGCTTCAATTTCTCGATCAACTATTCGACGAAGTTAAGGGTGTCAAATGAATTAATACCATCCTTTCCCCATATTCTATTGCTGCGAGTTGAAGTCATGACGGTATCGCATTCAGTCGTGTTCATTTGATATGCACATTTAAGGGTAGCCGAATTCTGATGTATCCAAGCGGATCCCCAACACCTCAATGGTTCGCTTCGAAATGAGGGAAGATTTCGTGAAGTGCGGGACATTTAATCTTGATACCAACCACTCCTTCCCCGAATCAGTGAGCTCATCACTAGGAACAACGAGTATTAAACGTTCGTGCTAAGCGTAAAGCTAATGTCCCGAATCCATGGCGAGCTAAGTATTCTTTTTCTGTTAGTCGCGTGTTGTTCCCTCATGTTTACGAAATGTATAGGGATATGAGTTCGGCATTCCATGTGTCATTGACTATCGTAACACGTAATCATTCGAGTTACAACATCATTACAACGGCACTTGACGAACCAACACCAATATATGACAGAAACGCGATATTCATGAAGATTCATGACCATTCGCTCGGCACACTAGTGGTCTCAGCGGTCGGGATCTTCACTGAGCTACCGACATCCTCGGTGGGCTCCTCGGGCTTAGTCAGTGGTATGGACAAGTCAGGCTTCGTCTCCTTCATCACCTAATGATGCATTGATATTATTGATATCAGAACTTATACTAACCTGTGATGCGACAATGTCCCGCAGCATGAAGTCAGTTCTCGCAGTAGGGCAGGGTAGAAGATAGTCACATGACTCGAGGATCTCAGGATGTTCGCTAAGCTCTCGATTCGTCGCCACCATCATGACGGGAACATTGATTTGCTGACAGCGGAGCGAAGCTCTGTATTCATCGATTCTGTGGAATTAACTACATGTAGGGCTTTGATGTAAAGCACGGGATCTAGGCACATTATGAGGTGGTAGTGGGCTGATGCTGTTGCTATGACCGACATGTCCATGCGTGCTAATACCAACTTTATCGTAACTTATGAACTAACACCGCTACCTTTCGAGAACTGAAGACCTTCAAAATGGTTCTTCCAGCTGACCCCTCCTTGGTTCTTGTTACCTGAGCTTCTACCATCACATTGACATAGTTGCTAAGTGACGTACCGATGACCAATACAGGAGCATTGTTCTCCTTTAACAACTTGAGGAACTTGAAACTCCTCTTATAGTTAATCAACATAGTGTACGGATCTGCTATGTATTGGACCGTCACCTTGTTGGATATTCGATTGAAATTCATTATGTCGAAAAATCCTGACAGTGTGGTTTGTATAAACTTGAAAGCAACAACCATTCGGAATCGACAGAACCTGTGTTAAACAGTAGAGCATGTTAAAACAGTAGATATCAATTCAAGTGGTTGAGACGGGAAGGAGCTGGAGCAGGGGAGGAGCCTATAGGCCTTCATATTGTCTACTCACGTTACTCGTCTACTGCTGAGTCTATTGCTAAAGCCTCAGTCTACAACTTCTACCCTGAATTCGGCGAGACCCATCATCATCAGCATTGCGAAAATGCCCAGAGTAACAGTGGTAAGAGGCAGTCTTGAAGAGTGTCACTCAGCGATCAAGTGTTTATGTTAGTCTCACATAGGTTGAAGCCGTCGTTGACAGGCTACACCTCAGTTATACCATTATCATCATCGTCACTCAATCGATTGCAGAGACCCCACTATTCACAACCCTTAAACGCACTGAGCGGACATACGAATCGTATGATACGATTCATCTCACCCGGATTCGAACCCCGCCCACGACAACTTAGCACTTCCCTGTTGGAACAACAAGGTATAATACAACTATCGCGTGCATGTATGGCCTACATGCATGTAATAGCAGTACCATAGAAATCATATAGTGCTCAACAACGTATTAACTAGACCATCATAATTCTTTGACACCAAGCTCCTGCCCTAACATGAGCATACCCGTATTGGACACAACTGGTGATGACCCTCTCTACGGCCTACCTATAGGCAGTCGACTTGGCCATACCGGTCAACACTTCCTCTACACCTCTCCGAGTCGGACGTCCCATTAGGCAAGTCCAAAAGACACTGAAACGCTACTCCCTCAAGTATAATACCGCTCCTCATTGAATTAACTCAACTCACCCACGTCTATCCCCAGTACCGAGAAAGAAAAAATACACAAGTATCGATCTACACCATATTAGCCTCTATGCAAGTAGCGTGCGCCCAGATAATCGATAACTTACTGGGCCAACTACTCACTCGGAGGCGGTGGTGGCGATGGTGCCATAACTCCATTGGCTTGTTGTTGTTGTTGTACGTCGTTCTGTATAGTTTCCTTCTTCTCCTCGACTTGATCATCATCATCATCCCCCTCCTCAGCGTGACTCTTCTTGGTCTCCTTAACTCGATTACATTTATTAATACGTATGCCACCACGTTTCTTCAGTTTCAGGCGTATACGATCTCCAGAGGATAGATTGTAATAGGCTATAGTCTTACTGTTATCACTGAGATAAACGACAAAGTAAACATCACTACCGCCATAGACATGACATATCAACGCTCCAAACACGTTTAACTCGAATACCACACCTCGTTCACCTCCTGGCAGCATGCCAGATGCTGGAGAGTACAAACCATCATTTTGTGGATCAGCCTCCAACATCAACGATTGGAGGATCGGAATAATTCACCCATTTATTAAAACTTACTTGAGTACACCAGTCTCCCTCACAATGAGCTTCATCACACCAGGCTTCCACCCCTGAGCCTTATCCTCCAGCATAGCCTTCAGCTGCCCAATCGTCATACGCATGCTCAAGTCGTCAATGACGATATTATTAGGTGACACTTGGCCCTTATGACGTATCGCCGCTGGAATCCTCTGTATGATTTGAAGTGATAGAGTCTCACCTAATACCAAATCGATCACCTGATCGATTTCCCATTCCACTACCCTTCCTAGCAATCCAATCGTCCTCAGACAACAGGTCCACCCCCAAAGGGCGTCTAATACAGAGATCCCGCATGTGGCCTCGCCAAGGGTCGATCGCTCCAAAGCCACGAACATCCAACTCCCCCCTCTTAGCCTTATCACAGGTCGATATGATGAACCCAGCCTTCGAGTGAGCGTTTAGGAAAAATGCCCTGAAATATACATCTACCGACCAATTCAATGAAGGTAATCATATCACAATAGCAAGCCTAAAATGGAGCCTATAGCTCCGCCCTCCCCCCTAAACTATTCCCTTACCGATCAGCATCTAAATGGTCCATAACCTTCAGTAGAAGCTCCGGCGAAAGGGACTGCATCACTACAACGCACTTCAAATCTAGCTCGCCAGGGCGGAGTGTTCCATCTGAAATAATATTCTATACCACTCCTTCTCTACTTCTACCTCAAATATTACCCTGAGACCTCGCCGCTGAGTGCAACGCGCACGAGGCCTTCGGGTCACCACACCTCTGACCAGTGACTCAGTCACCACTCCCAAATTCCGTCACGCGCCACGAAATTGCTCATCATCAATACTACCTTCAAGATACTTAACGATTCTGTTTCTGACGTTCTTCGGCAGGAACCGAGCCGCATTCATAGCAGCATCGTCACCATACTGATCCAACTCAGGACAGTAGCTATCCGGCTGAGTACCAATACCCAATGGTGTATCATTAACTGGGTTCCACTGCATACCAACATACGTATCACGATCACCTGAAAACTCACCAGCCATGACCGCGCGCCACAAAATTCCTCTTATTACTGAGAACCTTCATCTGGGCATTCTGTATGTGTTTGAGCCTTTCCTCAGGTGTCGCCAATGTAGTTTCATGACCATTCCCTCCCGGTATCGGATAAGCTTGCCTCTTAGCTGGTGGAGCCGAGGCGATCAGCCCACCGTTCTGGTCCATGGTACTCATATCAGGAACAACAACAACAACCATAGCGCCGCATACAGCAGCTCCCGAACACAACACATTATCATTTACTATGTAAACGTACTTGAGCCATCGGTTAATAAAGAGTATAGACTACCTCTCCTCATACAGTGACTTCGATCTCATACTCGTGGTCTGCCCCCATAAAGCTATCGCTCATCAAACACCTACATCATCATCATCATCACATCTCGCCACCCAGCATCCTAATATTACAATGTATAGTTGTACTTCCCAGGTTTCTCGGGCAACCTGAACTGCAACTTCGCCTTCACTTGAGCCTTATTGATAGTAACACGCCTGATAGCCACTAAACTATCCTTCATACCAGCCACTAGCCACCACGACTCCTCCTTTTCTCCAGGGTAATACCTATCAACACCATCACCATCATCATCATACTACTACATCTAACCACCGCCCTACTTAGCATATACCGGTACGAACCCAGCAGTTTTATCAATCACTCCTAGATCTCCATCACGTTCCAGCACCACAGGGATCTGGAAAACACAGTGAAAGGAAGCATGAGAATTCACGACAACGTACCGTAACAGTCTTCCCATCCTTAGATTTGTTGATTTTATATTCCATATTGATACTCGGGAACTGATTACAGGCTTGGGCCACTTCGGCAACTTGCGACTCCGACAGATCCCGGAATAGTTTATTGCGTTTATCATCGTCCAAATCCAAAATATCAAGGACATCCTCAACCTAATACACATACCGTAATTCCGCTGCTTCATGCGCGTCGCTCCGCCTTCCCTACCCCCATCTTTTTCGCCTCCTCGACCATGTCCTGATTAATATACGGTAACTGCATCAACAGACTGGTGTCAGGGCCCATCGCCTGTACAACCATCTGCGATAACTCCATCGCACGAAGTGCCACTCGGTACCTAAACAATATCGATCACTCGGGCGCGCGCTAAACCACCATCCCCGTAATGAATACTCACCATTCGTGACTAGCAACCACATCAACCATAGCCTGTATAAGCCTGGTAGAGTTGAGCAGCACCGTACGTTGGTCCGCCGCAAGGTCAGACCCTGGGAGTCTTTGCCTCGCGAGATGGGCGTGTAAGAGAATAGCACACTTCACTGCAGGATCACCCTGCTTCAGCTTGCTGGTCTCAACTGGTACCTTGCATCACACACAGTTCAGATACCATAACATCAATAACGAAAACACTCCTTACCTTCAGCCGTTCAGCCAAGGCCCTCAGTGTTCCCTCTTCACCAGGTCGCACTGGAATCGACTCGAACTCACTAGCACCGCAAAGGGCTTCAACCAGAGCACGACGTTTACTCGTGCGTGTAATATTCCGGGAAAAGATCTCGATGGTCGATGGACGAGTGTAATAATACCTACATAACGGCGAACCATTGGGACATCACTACGGAGCGGGCAGCGACCATTTCGAGCGTGTGTGCGTGCGTTATTTTTTCTCCCAGGAAGAATTTTAACACAGCGAGATAGCTGGGTATAGTCAGTGAATAATAAAATACCCATGCGGTACATAATTTTTGCATTAAAAAATACCAAGCCTGGGATTCGACCCGGAGACCTATACCACACCAACGGTGAGCACAACCGACATGCCAAACCCATCAAATTTCAAAACGGAGTTCAACACTTGTGAAGCCCCAGCGATTAACCCCCAAACCTACGCTGCGACCATGCCAAGATTGGTGCTGCTCAGGGTGATCTCATCCTCGCCAATCTCAATGCACCCTGTCTGGGCGAGCGCGTCTGATGTTGACTCTATAATCTCCGATAAGAAGTCGGAGATCTCTTGAGGTGATACACCCTAAAATGGTAATTAAAAATCGCTTCGCTCCGCCAAAATCATCTTACCTGTAATGAGTAGTAATTCGGATTACGAGTGATCCTCCTGTAGAAGAAGGTCCAGGTGAGCCAATCAACTGCATCCTGTTTGTTCTCAATCGTGCCCGACACAACCTAACCAAAATCCCATCATGCCGTTATTGACCGCATGTTCCAGTCCCGGCGGATGCATTTTTTCAGTAATTTTATATGAGCTCAGCAAGACCCAATCCTCCAGAACCTACCTCAGCATTAAGATGATCCGTCAACTTCTGATCCAACTGTGACTCGACGGGCATGGGCTCGTATATGAACTTCTTATAATAATCCTTCTTAGTAGTGGGACAGAGTAGAGCGCATCTGAAAATCCAGCATGATAATGGCTTCGCTCCGCTGCTCCCGATAGGATTACGTTGCATGATCATCAATACCCGGTCGACCAGCAATGGACATCATCTCTACCACGTCGGCTACATCATAGTCCACATAACGTCGTTGTCTGAATAAAATTCACATCGCCGGGATCGAACTCACGACCTATCCGTCCTCACCTTGCATCGTATTTAACAGTGTCCATAACCACCACCATCCTACACCCTGCATTATGAGTCTGCGGCAATAGACCCCACGCAAGATCTACCGTCACTACCATGATCTGAACAAAAACGTCACAAGCGGGAATCGAACCCGGGACCTTTCGATGTCTACCTGAACCGCACCGCTCTCGAACAGTTCCATTAGACCATCTCTCTCCTTGTTGCTCAGCCCCTCATGCATGTATCCAATACCATGCATCAACGATGTGACCAGACCCCGCTCTCGAGTCCTCCAACCATACTCCTTCGATAACCCTTCAATGTGCTCCTTCATCGCAGTCTCAGACAAATGACGGAATCTGCACGCATGTAAAAGATACTCCCACGGTGTAGCCCCAGCCCACCTATCGGGACTGTTATCAGCAGTAGCTTGAAGCATGAGGTCAGCCGCCACCATACGGCTCTGCCGACGATCACCGACAAATACCACCACGGGTTGAGAGGGAGAGTTAGCCTTGATAAGGTTGTAACTACACATAAAAATGCCATACATGAATCGCTTCGCTCCGCCATTATCACGTAGGTCTGGTCATAGCAGCCATCCTAGCGTTGCGACTGTAGATATCATAGCCGTGGATGATGACCTTAACTGGCACAGCGCGGATCTTGGTGGGGAAGTTGAATTGCGAGGACACTGGAGCTCCCATCCAGCCACCGAGATCATTGGCATTCTGAACACGCATAAAATACAGTAACAAGGATTTGAACCCGGGACCTCGTCCATGGCAGCCTCAGGATATACCGTCAGAGAAAAGAATACCCATAATACCGAAATCGATGCCGCTAACCCGATAATCCTGCATGGCTTAAAGGCCTCACCGCTCTCCGAAGCTTGAGCCGACAGATTTGAGGTGATGTACCTGGCGAGCGGTATGGCAATATTCCCCCGAGAGCAACTCCACATGCATACCTCATTCTCGATACACAAGCCTCCATAGTGGCGCCGATTCTCGGATGGTTGAGTAAATGCAAATCATCAGCAATGAACAGAGACACCTACACCAACACGCATATCCTAGGTTCCCACATGCAAGATACAAACCAGGCCCATATCCCTACTACCTGCTGGACCGGCTTCCTAGTTCTCCATCTCCTCGATATCATATCCCAATGTTCAGGTGTTGTAATCACAATATGTGATGAATCTAGTAGCTTGAGATCCTGCGAGGCCTCCCCTACCACAATAACCTTCATCACAAGCACCAGAGATCTAGGCCCCACGTACCAGTAAGCTTAGTCACGACACATCCCAATCCATCCACGCCGAACTTCTTCTGCCACTCGGTCAACCTCAACTCGGCAAGCCGCTCGAATGGACACATATAAACACACCGTTTGATCTGATAAAGGAAAATGGCAAACAAAAACCGCTTCGCTTCGCCTCCATTACCTCATATTCCTTGAGCATTCTCAATATAGCAAACTCAGCACACTGCAGTTTACCCGAGTTAGCCGGGGCGCACAGCAACGTGTTGTCATCACTTTGGAACATTTGAGTGAAAGTCTGTGTCTGTATCGGATTCAACTTGCCAGCTGACAGAGACAACAAAAATGAAAATTCATATTCCATACCACTCCTCCCCCTACTCGCGCCATAGAACACTTGCTCAGCCTTAGGCCACTTCAATGCAGTGATAGGCAACGGCATCAAATCAAGTAGTTCTGTTTCCGGTGGATTCCGTTCCGGCAATATCAACCGACGGAAGTTCACCGGCAACAAAGACTCCGCCCCAATCCACCTAAATACAATATAATACGCATATCCTTCTCTGTGCGCCTCATGCTACCTGTCCGATACGCATCTGATGAAGTAGTGTGGGGGCATAGGATCCGTAATAGGCACTGTAAAGGTGAGCGTATGCTCCTGGTCGGCTTGAGATTGCCTCAACACGAACAGCTCATAGTAGAGTATCGTCTCCTGTTGTGTGTCCTCCACGAAAATCCAGAAAGGCTCTGTGGAGGAATGTACCTATGCATGAATTCGATTGTCACCATTCACCCCAGTGTTGGAATAATATATATTCCCTTCCCTCAGCTGAGCTCAGAACTTTCCTCACTAACCGTTGAAATCCGAGCTGCGGTAGGAGTGTACAGAAACCATTGAGAATTTCCAAAAAAAATTCCAAAAAATTTCCTCAGAATTTCCATATTGTCACCAACACGTATATTTTCCCACACTGATTAATTGTATTACCTTCGGATCGAACTGGAAGTCCGGAGTCAAGGTAAGCTCGACCAATAGACAGCTACGAGTTATCGGCTGTACGTAGGCGGCTAGGTCCAACTTGGGGAATTGATGGACGTACTTGTATATATGCTTGCCTGGACACGACGATGGTATAATACGCTTTTACCATGCGAGAGGTTCCCAGTTCTATCCCCACGACCTGTAATTTTACTACCTAGTTTTGGCGCTCTCAGAAGTTCACCAATCTCATGCGGCTTGTAGTCATAGTACTGCTCGAAACGAATATCCTTCTTCTCAATTTTGCGCAAAATATCCTGAGGTTCAATCAATAAGATACACAATAGGTCCACTACGAGTACCTCCGGAATCTCCTTGAAATGCCTCAAAGGCGTTTGTACGCTCCAGAATCTCTTCTCCACCACTTTACTCCAAAGCAAGGCCTTCTTTGCCAGGTCAGCCCACCCCCTACGAAGGGCTATCTCGAACAACGCTCGGAAGATACGACCAGCCGACTGCTCCACATATCTGCACGCATGCACAAATCACATCGAAATTAAGCGCCGCCACTCCGCGCACTTACACCATATCAGCTTGTAAGGCGAAACCATCAAGAGGCAACCTCGAGATGTATGCTTGCAAAAGGACGTTGATCTTAGAACCAGTCTCCTCAGCACCACCCTTCACTGGAATAGGCACCTATCGGACATACTCTGAATCTTACCAAGTCAACCTAAAGATACCTTTTCGACCAACTTGCTCAGCTCGACCTTCTCTTCTTCCCTCACAGGTATATACTTGAACTCCGAACTCAGAGAGAACAAGCGGAGCAATTCTATGTCAGACATACGCGGCTTCAAGTGCTGATTATATACAGCCATAGAAGGATACCTATGGAAAAATTCCCACAACATGAAAATACACAACATAGTCTCACTTGATGTAGTAGTGCGCAGCAACTCGTCCTAGAGCTGTAATGTGGCATTGCCCTGTTCTCTTGTCGTACTTCACCAGACCATTCTTATCCAACATAGTCATAGCCGCATGGCACAGATTCACTCGGTGCTGAAATTGATCCAACTGCCCATGCGGACTCAGTAGTAAACTCCAATTTAAAGTACGCAAATATTATTATACACTTTTTACTCTACTAATTTCTATAATCTTGACGAAGGAATTATATCATAATAATGTTTGCCAGTTGATCTACATATGTACATAAGAAAAACTACATTCAAACTATATCTATTTTTTCCATAACACATCAAATTAACAAGATAATGATAAGTAGAATATTCATTCAACTAGATCAGTAAGTTCATACAGAAAATAAAGTATACATCATATACCGCGCGTCACGCAATTCAACCATCAACAGCGATTGCTTTCCCACCTGTATAAGCCTAGGGTCATCTCTAGGATTCCCTTCCTCGTCTCCCATAGGTACACCATATAGTTGAGGTGCCTTCATCATCCTCACATGAAGATATGTATACCCCAACCAACGCACTGCATCATCCCTAGAGGCTATAGTCCCCAGTGCCATCTCAGCGTTGATCATATCAGGTAAGGCTGACAACATCTGGGACTCGATCGGGAGCTGTGTATTGTTCAAGGAGAGATAGTACTGCAGCTCTGAACGGTTCGTAATTACGATACCTGAAAACAGAATGTTATATTTCACTTATCGACGGATCAAAATTGCAGTAAAAAGCGCGCGTATTTTACTATTATTGTATTTTACGTTAATGGCTAACAACTACACACGTTGACAAAATTTCGGCAAATATAGCCTTTTCTACACCTCTACCCCGAATCGTATATAAATGCCTATAACGCAGGGAAACCAAACCGACATTCCAAAAGTGTAAAACGACGCAACCGACCCCCTACCATGGCCAGTAGTATCATATTGAGGCCGACCAGCACGACCCATCATCTGCATCATATCCATCGGGCTCAGCTCTACCCAATCACCCTTCTCTGGACTATACACCTGCGTGCCCTTAATAATGACCGTATGAGCCGGTAAGTTAACGCCCCATGCCAAGGTAAGAGTAGACACCAGCACTTGTATGTGGCCATCGGCGAACAGATCCTCTACAGTAGTTCGATCGACTCTCGCCATACCAGCGTGATGTATACCGAAACCATACTTCAACAGATCACCCAAATCTGGCGACTTTATCGTATTTTCAATTTCGTTTTCGATAATCTGTCTAGAGGCGCCGCTTTCCGGTAAGAATTTCCCAAGCATCTCCTTCTCCATAGCCATATCCCTCAGCTCGCGAGCCGTCTTAAGAGTGTCTTTCCGAGAGTGCACGAATATAATAATCTGATTCTTCCCAGCATCAGCCTCAACCTTCTCGAAGAGAACCTCATTCATCACATTAGCCCGCTTTATAGCCTTCTTAGAGCTAACTCCAACATAGGTCTGATCCAAGGGCACAGGACGGTAGTCTTGACCAAAGTAGAAGAGGCCACGGTTCAAGTTCACTCTCAAGAACAATGCCACATCCTTATAATTGGGCAATGTGGCCGACAGACCGACCAGCCTAACATGCTCCTGAGTCTGCTCTATTTGCCGCAAAGTACGAGCCACGATGGCCTCCAGTACAGGGCCCCGATTGTCATGAAGCAGATGAATCTAAACAGGAGGTCGAGGATGCTTCCTCTCGTATGAACCAGGACGCTCACCTCATCGATGATAATGAGCTTGACTAAGGCGGTGAAGCCTCGGCTCTCGCCAGCCTTACGAGTGACAACATCCCACTTCTCAGGGGTGGTGACGATTATGTTCGTCTGCTCGATCTGTTCACGGCTAAGGGACTGATCTCCTGAGAGCTCCTTCACAACAAGGCCGAGGTCGCCCAAGCGCAATGAGAACGATTGCACCACTTCCTAAATAGCAACGCGGTAAATTCCCAAGACAATAAGCGAAAGGTCCCAGGTTCGATACCTGCACAAGGGCCTTCATCGGCGCGATATATACCATCTTGAAAGCGCTCGTATCAAAGCCATCTTCAGTACGATACTGCTTCAGGACCTATCAAAAGCAATAACAATACTAACAGAGCCGATCTCAATACGTTCATAATAGTAAGCATGGCCACATTGGTCTTTCCTGCTCCTGTGGGAGCACACATAAGAAGATTCTCTTCAAACTCATTATAAGCTACAGGGAAGACCTGAAACCAACGAGCGATACCAGATAACAAAGGGGGCACTCATCAGCTACTAGCACAAGGTCATCCTTACCTTTGACTGCACAGCATTAAGCCTCTCGAAGTGCTTGAAGGCTGGACAAGCCCACTCGGGTAGAGCCTCTTTAACCTGCACCATCATCATCATTACCACTGCTATGCATATATAACATATACTACTTTAATGAGAGACTCCTGCTTGACCTTAGCCTTGGGAGGAGCCTGTACCACGACCTCCTCATATCCCTTATGGCTCGATGTGAATACATCAGTATTCTTCGCAGGCTCGAATGATTGGTTACTCATAAACCTGCGGGAATATTAAAAAACACACCTCCCAGGGATCGAACCCGAGACCTATATAATCAGCACCATAATCATTCCTCCCACAGTACCTTGCTCCACCAGGCAGCTGTAGCGAGTCGAGATCAACCAACTTAGATGGATTAGGCATCTTAGCCGCCTCCCGAGTCTCCCCAGCCTCGGCCATCTCCACATCACCATCCTCCTGATGACCCAGAGACGACGCTGCTTCCTCCTCCCCCTCCTTCAGCTTCCTTGCCTCCGACCTAATACACATCTCAGAATACGCCCGAATAAGGCCAACTCACCTGAGCTGCTTCCTCCTATTGCCTCCTCCTTCTCCTCCTTCACCATCAAGAGCATCACCAAGCTTCTTATAGTCCTCATGATGATGAGCGATCTTCCATTCCTCAAGGACCTCAGCCGCAGCTGGGTCCTCCTCCATCTCCTTCTCCAGCGACTTGCGCTCCTCTGAAAATGACAACAACAACATGTACCCTGCCTCACGAGCAAGGCGCCTCCCTCATCCTACCAGGAGTCTGTGCTTGGTTGATCTTGGTGCAATACCATATCTTGATTCTGTTATTCACAAGGATCTTGCAGAAATCGAAGTGCTTGTATTTGAAGATTTGTACGAGTTTGTTCTCAACACTCTGCGAGTCGGGCAGCCTCAAGACATCGAGAATAGACTTCTCTACAGTGATGACCTCAGAGCTATCCTTAACGCGCTTGCCCTGCCAAAGGTAAGTGAATACAAAGAGGAATGGTATGGACCTACTAGTTCCCTCTGGAGCCAATGAGAATGGATCTTCTGAACTGGCAGGTCGGTGCTCGAGGTGTTCCTCCGTTTCGAGGCCGGGCCGTCGTCAGCATCATCACCT